TCTTGTCATGAGCTCTTTCATGATGATGTGGATAGCATTTAATGTTGACAATGTTGAACACGCTTTCTAATATCTAACACCATGTTAAACATTGTGACTAATCAATTTACTTTATATTTGATTTATTTTTTTATTATTTTTGTATTAATAATTATTTGAATTGGTCCACCTATACAAATAACTTCTTATCAAATTGATGCATTGGAGATACTAATTTGATTCAAATTTCTACACTTTTAACATTATTCCTACATGGATTAACATTACAATCATTGTTTGACATGTGTTAAAAATTATTGTCTTTCAAAGCTATAGTATTGGAGATGCTCTTAGATCTCACAATCGAAGCCTCGTGTGATCATCAAGATCAAGACCACTAATTATGTCGTCTTTCACATCAAGTAAGTATTTCGTATACATCAAATTATTTATTCAAGATCCTTAATGAAGTTTACATTCTCCCCAGTACACAAGCACGCAACACAAGCACGCAGGTACATGCAAGCAAAGGAAAAAAAAACAAAAAAACTTCTCAACTCACAAAGTCTTAAGATCCTCAATTTCTTTTGGGGGAAAAAATCCATTTAATTTTAAAATTGCTCGCCCGAACACCACTCATCTGTTATCTTTCATCTAATCATCTATTCATCTTCTATTAGTGTTTTATGATAACACTTCCTCACCTCAACCCTTTTTCCTTCCGTTCCTCGTCCGGTTCAAGCTCCCAAAGACCTGCAATAACGCCGGGAGGTGCTCCCGGCGGTAACTCTCCGACGCTCAAGTCAGTAAGGGATAGAAGGGTATAAGAGAAACGTGCGTAATTGTAAGTAGGGTTAGGGTTTTGTAGAATGTGTCTGCTTACCATAATCCTCATCTGTGTATTTATACCTGAAGGTGTAGCTTATTCCCCACGCTTCAACTCTCCCAGTCCAGTCTTCTAGTTTTCCTATATGGGCCGACCACACTGCATTGTGACCGATATGGGCCTAGCGAACGTCATTAAGCCCATCCGCTAATAAACAGGCTGGACAATTCGTACCGCACGTCCTAACTTATTGGACCGCTTTATCACGGGGCTAGGCCTATGCATAAAAAACCGGCCCGAGTATATTGCCATATTATCTAGCCCCCCATTATCAAATGAGCCCGAGCTTCAAGCCCAGAGGACTCGTTTGATAATTATCGCAATAACGAAAAGCCGAGCCATGGCCCACGCGACAAATAATAAAAAAAAGTCCTTGAGTGCTATAGCACCAAAACAAAACAAAAAATCTCGATTCGCGCGCCCCTTTTATACCTGCCAAATGTGACGTTTTGCTGTGGTTGTTCCCAAGAGTCATATATGACTTGACCCATCCCATTTTGAAATTTGAATTTTAAATTTGCTAGTGGATATGGGAAAAACTTTCCACCATCCTTGCACCCCTTTATATACTCCATGTACATAATCCTCCATCATACAAAATCTCCACCTTTTAAACTTCTATATCCTCCACAACAAATACCAGCAAGTCCACAACAAGTACCACTCTTCCTGGGGTATCACCCCACTCCCCTGTGCCTTGTTCGTCGACCAGCTACGCCGGAGATCATGGGTAAGTCATCACGCCCTATTAGTCTCCCTCTCAATTCGTTATTTGTTTTTTATTATTTTTTTTGAAATATGAGGTAAATCCAATCGCCCCTCTCGATTTTGTCCGCGTGCGCTATTGAGGCGTCAATTTGTCGGGCCCGTAGTTGTGTAATGAATTGCGATGTGTTTTGAATGTTGCGCCCCTTATATCCACCGTTCTTATGTGAGTGTTGTTATGTATGCTTTAGATTTCGGTGTTAGTGACATCGCGACCATACCCACTACTTTCGAGCCCCTCGAACCCAGTTTAGGCCTAACACCCGAAGAACTCCACTCCTATCCGAAGACTCCCACTTCGGCCGTATCCTCCAGGTCATGCCCGAGACCTCATGATGAGGTTGATGGAGATGTCTCCCAGGACGATTTGACGCGAGTATTAGGCAGTGACTTGTTGCCGATAGACGATGACCGTCATCATGGTGTGCCCTTACCCGATGCCGAGCTGCGGGCTCGACAAGCGCATATTACCATAGACACCGATCCCGTAGCAGATCCTAACATCACTCTAGCCACCAAGGCAGTCGCCATAGCCCGGCCCAACCCATTCTTCAACGTCGGGGAAGCCGAAATCTCGGCCTTCAAGAGACTATGTGAACTTCCTCCCGATTGGGAATTTCAAGCGCCTTCCCCAGGTAGTTCCTATAGCCAACCCCCGGTCGGCTTTTACACCTTTTTTGTGGATCAAGTAAAAAGCGGCCTTAGATTTCCCATTAGACCCGATCTACTCACATTAACTCATCTTTACAACTTCCCCATCAACCAATTGGTGCCCAATAGTATTCGAATCCTCATAGCTTACACCATCCTCAGTCATTACCATTTCGGTAGGTTAAATCCCAAATTCTTCCTTTATTGTTACGGCCTTCACTTGCATCAAGGCGGGTCCTATTACCTTAGTGCCCGAAAGGGGGCAAATTTTCTTAGATGCATGAACAATAAGATCAACCACTGGAAAACCCGTTTCTTCTTCCTCAAACCTCCCCCAGGCACATTTAAGTTTGAACCGACGTGGCTTACCACTATTGGTAAGGAACCGGTACCTAAGAAAAAGGCTCGGTTTCATGAGCTCATAACCAAATGGAACAAAACCCCCTACGACATCAAGAAGTTGTCCATCCCCGACAAGCTCCGATCTTATTACGAACTCACCCATAAGAGAGTCGAACCTTTTGACTTAGGTATAAATACCGAAGCATTATGTATTGTTATCTTTTCATTTCCTTGTTATGAGTACTCCATGTATGTCAATATATAATAACGGATTGATTTTATGTTTGCAGATAAACTTGTATCCGGTGCCGTCACAAAACTAACCGAGAAACGAAAACGAGTACGCCCTTCTACCGCCGGTATGAGCATATCCCCTCGCCCCTCGACTCCCGACCATCTTTCGGATGTTGATCTGTTGAAGAAAATTGTGCCCGGCTCGCGGAAGCGTAAAGGATCCAACGAAGTGGAAGGCACGTCGGCAAAAATGGATACCGTGCCCTCTCATGCTATCCGACAACCTTCAGCTTTTGCCACCCATAGGGACCCGTTGGCCCAATCATCTTACCTGCTCTCCATCTTCCCAGGAAACGAAACCGATCGTTGGGGCGGAGATAGCAAGCTTCGGGCCGAGTATTGCATGAAGCGTCTTGCAGAGGTAAATACATTTCGTGCCCCCCATTATATCCATATCACCGAGGACAATAACAATTTAAAATTCTCATTTTATTTTATTTTATATCTTTAATTTTGTAGCTGAATTCTGGCCTTGCCAGCCTCCTTAATGAGGCTATAACCGGCGACGCTCCCTCCGCTGCTGAACATCGCAAAGTGAAGGCCACTCTCGCCACCGCAAATACCAAAAACAAAAGCCTAGAGACCGAGCTTAAAATGGCTAAAGAAAAAATCAAATCGTTGGAGCTGGCTGTTACTCATCATCAACAAGAGGTCGTCACACTCCAATCAGAAATCGAAATGGCCGCGCTGTTGGGTTCGATATACCCGTACGGAACAAATAATGCAGCGGAATTTAAAAATT